ACTTTTGACGCGCCCCGTCCTTTAAGGGACGATTAAGGGATGAGGGATAGGAGCCACAGGTCTGGAACCTTCGACTGAGGTTAGATATTGACCCGAGGAATCGATTGCGACCATTATTTTGGCGATCAGACGAAGCCTTGGGGCACTTTTGACGCGCCCAGTCCTTTAAGGGACGATTAAGGGATGAAGGAAGGGAGCTAGGGCAAAATAAATGTCATATTCGTGTTCCCCGTCCCCCAATTGACCTGATGGCAGTTTTTGAAGCGATTCTGAATCCGACGCTGTATTCGTTGCTGTTGCTGACGCTAACTTCACGGACATGTAAGTATTTGCATCAAGGGAACCCTGAGGCAGTGCGCCGGATTAGTCTCAATTTGGCATTTCGATTTAAAAACTACCCAAATCATGTGGTTTCATGTTATGTTACTGAACCGCTTTTTGAGAATCAGTGTCATAATGCAGACTTTTATTGACATACTGGACCAGATGATTTACTTAATTTGCATTTGACAATCAACTTGTGATGTTCTAATTCAAGGAAACTCGGTTTACCGATTGCTATGTTGTTGAAGGTATACAGATTGGCAAATTTGGTATCAAATTATTCGAGTGGGAACATCAGCAATGGGAAATGGTTATATCAAATCAAGGGGGGGGGGGGCTGTGTCCAGTCGTGAGGACATGTTGAACTTTAAGACAAATTTATGCTATACAACTGGAATTGCGCGGTCAGGTGGCAGGTCAGGTTCAGCACAACAAGCTATGCTTAGTGCGAGCTCTGATTTCACAAATCTGCCCATTCAACCATTCAGACTAAATTTATAAGAAATGGCAAGAGCAGTAACTTTTAAGAAGCTAATGGGAACTGGCCATTGGAGAATGGTGCTAATTTCAAACTAAATTGATGGCTCGGCAAAGATTGGTGTAGGTAATCAATAGTACGCTCATTGCCATTTCTCCAGTGTTAATGGTAATTTGATTTATTTACCTAGTGGGTACTTTTGCTGGCAAACCTGCTATTATAATTTCAGTCAAGGTAGCTGTCCAGGATAGACAATCCGATAGACAGCCCTTCGTTGTATCTGTTCCGCCACCTGACAAAGTTTGTCATGTTCAATGATGCCTTATAAATTTCAATTCCAGGATATCCCTTTTAAGTGAAACCACACTGGTCCGAAACTGTGGTGCTAGCATCCGAGGCCAGATATGAGATCAGTTGTGACTTGTGACTGAGAGGTCAATGGTCATTAGCATTGAAATTCCATGTTCAATAGATCATGTCAATAGAAACGGATGAAACAACCTTGGATGCGACCTTGGATGCGATGCGATGCGAATAGTCTGACTTGGATTGTTGCATGTTACTGATTCATCATCTGAATTCATTAATTTCAGCGTATCCCTCCAAAACCAGAGGTCATAAAAGTCGCCAACTCGTCCACACCCGTGGGTAACCAATTCAAGTCTCTCACTGACAAGCCAGGTAACCACTCAAGGCAAAGCCATTTTAGAAAAGAGGAACAAATCTTGCTAGAATATAGAGCAAACATTGATTTCCTTATCTCTGTAAAAAAGCAAGTGTTTTTTCATATCTTCAAAAGAAAGGTGCACAGTCAACAAATTTAGTGAAAAGTGATGTCGTGTGCTACCTGAGATAGCGCCGGTCTCAGGTAGCACGCTCGGCAACTTTCCTGCCACGAACATTTACACATCTAGGTAGCAAGCAAGTACAAGTACTTGGACTTAGATATGCGAAACCAAAATCTGTTCATCATACGATCAGTTTGTGGTAAATTTGGAGTCTATATTTTTGCATTTACCTATTAACGACTTTTCTTCCAAAAAAACATTAAAACAGGGATTTGTCATTCGTTTCGTTGCTCTTTTTGTGGCAATCTTCGAGCAAGTAACAGAGAAATAGAGCTGGGAAAATGCATTACCCCAACCTTCCGGCCACGGGGTAGCCACCCTGGTAGCCACCGAGAGCCAAGGGGGAGCGGCCAATGGGAACCGCCGACAGCGAGGTAGCCAGCGTCTGATTGGCGGACTGAGGCCAGTCTGGCGTCAGCTGTTTGGAAGGGTTTGAAACTACAGGCGGTCACCGTCTAATCCTTTAGCGTCTTCCCTGACTTTCTCTTTGGTGTTTGTTGCGTATATGTGCCGTGGAACATTTGAGAGTGAGACGTTGGATATGTGCAAATAAGTGCAAGGAGTGGAAGCCAAAGTTGAAGTATGACTATGCAACGAGCGAAAATAAAGTGCGGCCTTCCATATCTTGCGAAACCATGGAAGGTCTGCAGTTTTATGGCGTGAATTCGAAGAGGCATCATCAATTGGTGCACAGAAAAATCCTAATATTTTGACTGCTAGTGTCGGTTGCTGGATCTGGATCTGAATTTGCTTCAGGAGAGGCTCATGCTCATTGTTGTCCAGGAAATCAGGTGAGTGTTTAAGTAAATTATTTGAGAGGAGACATAATGTATCGAATACAATTAAGGTGCCTGTCACTTCAACTTAGACATACCTATGTACCTAATTATACCAACCGAAGTTTCCATACCATGTTAAGAACTTAATTTTAGCAACATTATAATTATTTTTGCAGTAGGTGATTATAGGATATCTATGCGTTTTTTTCTACATTTCTACCGCAAGTTCTGCACAATTTTATTTAAACTAATTTATTTCCTACGCATGGTACCGCGCGGAGCAGCGTCTATGTAGAATCCGTCGTCTCCCCTACCAGCAACCATGACAACCGGAGCCGCTGGAGGGAGGCCCAACGGTCAGGGGACGCTGCCGGCGGCTAAAGTCAACATTCCGGGCACTTCCGAGGCGACAGGGACGCGGGTGCGCGTGGGTCGGCGCGCCGGCCCATCCGCCGTGCCAAGGGAGAGCGAATGGTGACCAGCTGACCGCTCCGGACGCTGGGGACCTCCCCGCCGTGTAGAACGTCCACTATGACCGTCTGCCCACAGCAGGACTCTGAGCCGTCCAACACGGCTGTCAACGGAGCAGACGCGGACGGCCGGGTTTCTGGTCCGTCCCAAAATGATCATCTGCCATCTGCGCATAATGGTCGATGACTGCGAAATTGTAACAAATCAACGCTTTCCAGGAATCAAAACAGATTGACATTTTATGTCTGACTAACACACTGCTGACGGAAATCATACAAAAGGACTTTCTAGTTTCTAGCCCGCGCCGGGCCGGCCCGGTGCTCGGCGCCAACCGAGCCGGGCCGGGGGGGGGGGGGGGTAGGCCGTCTGAACACCCCTCGTCTAAACTCGGCTCCTGGGCCACGATACGACGTGGGCGAGGGGGCGGTCGAATGGATCCCCTCGGTTTTTCGCAAATAATTGGCGTAAACAGTGGCCGATTGCGACGAAACTTTCAGTGCCCTCAGGTTAATCAATTCTACATCTACTCTTAAGATTTCATTATCCTGACCCAAATGACCTTTGACCTGTGATCTATTTATCTAGACCATGTTTGACCGGCATCACGATTCGGCGTATGTCGGCTCGCATTAGCCGCGCGCTTGCAGTCCTTTCGTGGTTTCAACTTTCACGCGTACAAACATGTGATATGATGCTGGTCCCATGCATTATGGTGGGTGTCAGCTGTCAAGGTGACCCAGAGGTCAGGTCAGGTCATTAACTTTTGATGACCTCGTTTCACTTTTCGCGAGTTTTACTTGTTTCTAATCTAGTTTTTGGTGCTAATTTCGAATTTAGCAACTATTTGAACATTAACGAGGTAGTTTTGGTGCCTTCGTTACATGCTACGCAGCTGTCAGAGGCCGTTGACACCTACTGCGAATACCTGGCAGGACCGCTATTGGTTGATCTGACCTGACCTGACCTGGCCTAAGTGGATGAAAACATCATTGATATCAAAACTAACAGGATATTCGTGATCAGCAACCCTAAAAAGTAATATTCTCACTCAACGACGCTCTAACAGGTCCCGACTTTACCGTCGTTTGGGTCATTGTTCTGACCCGGAATGTCAACCAATGACCTTGGACCTTAAAAATTAGGTATCATCGGCTTCCTCTTGTCACGGGCAACAAGTTCGTTTATACCGCAAAGCTCTAGCTCGATCAGGGGCCAAACGGCAAGGCGGGATCCAACGGGCCCCCTCCCCCTCCCCTACCTTCGCTGCTGGCAAGACACCAATTCCGGCGAGGGTTGAGTGGCATTCGATAGAACGTCAAAAAGCAAGACGAAACATTTCGGTCATCTTTAGGTCAGGTCAAAGGTCCGGTCACCAGAGGCCATCAAAGGTAAAATGTTGCCTACTTCAACATTCTTCGAAAATCCGGTGCATACCTAACTTGGGAACCAGTAGAGCTACAGCGCTGCGAGAAATCGCATTCGATAACCCTTTTAACGCTCGATCCGTAATGTGTCCTCATAGTTGACCCCACGTCAAGGTTTAGTCTCTAGAGGGCAAAAAGTAAAGAAGCCGTTTTTACGAACTGTTTTTCTTCAATAGCTTCAATAACACAAAGGCCCAGGTAGCCACCTGGTAACAACAGGAGCGTCGTGGGTAGCCACCAGCCCACTTTTATGACCTTTGTCCAAAACTTTGTAAGTAGAGTTGTCAGTAGCTTTCACACCACGCATGACATGAGGTGAATGTCCTCCTAGGCTTGGGGTGGCAATGTCAAAGTTTTAGTGATGCGCGCTCAATCATAACACAATTAATTCTCCATTCCTGCCTTTAGCCTATAATTGTCTGCTAATCTGAGTCGGTAGCATGCCTCGCGATGTACAGTTTGGTTTCGACTGACAAAGGGAACCAGTTTCCCCCAGAATTAGACCGTAGAGTTGTTCACCAAGATTTACTAAATTTTGATCATATGTGACTGCTGTCTATTTCTCCCCCTTTTGACCACCCGCAAATTTGTCCGTCTTCCTACTGAGGTCAGCGTGGGTCAATCGTTGAAAGAAGGGTTCGTCCAGCTGTCTTAACAGATAATTTGTTTCTCTCAGCAGGTCCATATTGGTGCATTGTTCGCGGTGCAGCTGAGGGCCGGTGACCAGCGCTCTCCAATCCGACGGGGACTGGATGGCATTCGTGAGGTCTAACTGCCCACGCCCTTGGCTTTCTCTGGTTTACATTAGCAATTCACACTTTGCCTACTGATTTTTTTGAAGTATCATACCCTACTCGGATGTTTACGATAAATTAAGTGTAATTTCAATGTAATGATTTCTAAATGTTATTTAGATCATTTGAGAATGTGGCCTGCGATTAAAACTATCTTTGATTGATTCCTTCATGTTGGATCTACCCGTTAGCCAATATTCTACGTTAGACCAAGATTTAGTCATCATCCTAAAAAAACGCTGGCGTCAGCCTCTCCCTCTCGCTCTCGCTCACGCTCTCTCTCTCTCTCTCCCTCTATCACTCACTCACTCACGCCCCCATTCACTCATCCACTCCCGCACGCGCCCACTCATCTACTCATTCTCCCCCTGTCCCCGTCTGTCCGTCTCTCCTACGCATGTTCCACGCGTGAGATGGTCGTATAACGTCCACTCGCGGCAGAATGAATAAGCAGAGCTTGGCGTGCCTCGGTCATAGGTGGCGCCACTGTTTCCTTTCGGCCTTCTGGGCGGTCGGGCTGTACCAAAAGAGTTGGGTCTTGTAGGTGGCGCTAGGGGCGCTGCCGTTGGTGCGTCTATTGACCTGAATTGTTTAAGGTCAAGGGTCGTCCGTTTCCGTTTCGTTTGGACTACCATCGCTCAGTTTAAAGAAAAGCTCACAGGTCCAACATCAGCTAATTAGGGTCTGCATCTTGTTCAGTAAGGTGGCCTGGTGACAATCTGACCTGAATAGAACAAATTCTTTATTCTACATGAAGGACATGAGCTGCGGTAATTTCTCGCTTCCCTCCGTAACCAACTCTAGACGTGTGCAAGCAGGGTGACATTTTTGACATAGTCACGTCACATTGAACGGTAACTCGCTTGATGCTTATGATCAATTGTCCCAAATGATGCATCAATTTAACAATCATTTCTACGTTAATCTTTGATATACCTCGACGGGGGAGCTAGCATCAATATCAGTTAGGTACTGATAATGCTAGGAGAGAAAGGGGAATTGATTGACAGGTTACGAACAGCGAAAAATTTATAACGATTGAAATGACAATTCAGATTTGTGTCGGTTATAAAAAACACGAGTCACGAAACGGCTCATTGCTGATTTAATAACGAACCGGAAGGCAATTCAGACTCACAGCGTTCTTGTTCTGGCGCTGAGCTGCCGAAGGAGCAGAATAATGTTTGATGTTAACAACGTTTACTCTCTCCATCCGAATGTAACTGAACACGTTACGACTTCTTGGGCCGCCTTCGTATCAAACCTTATCCAAATGATTAATCTATCCCACGGGTGTGACAATCCTACGCTGACCGTCGATTTATCTCGAAGAGCACTTTGTAAGAATTGAGAATCGATTGATGAGCCTTGGATTAACACTAGACTGATAGTGGATTGAAACGCTGATCTACCGAGACCAGCCAAGTCAGATTGTAGAGCAGCTTATATTGACCTACTAGCAAAAAAAAAAAAAAACGAATTTGTGGTGGTCGCGTCGTGAGGGCGTGATCATTGCGTTTCCGTTGATTCGTGATCAGATCGCCGCGGTGCAGTCCCGGTGAGCCTGTGATGTTATGCCGGCGTAAAGTCGTGTGGTCGACGTGACAACTTAAAGATAATTACGTTAGCGGTCTCTGTGAATCCGAATCAGCAACACATCTGAAGTAACCCTCCCTTCTTTCCCAGACAGATTGTTAAATTTTCACGCTATATTTACAAACGGACGATACAATACTGGTCATTTTCAACCGGTGTGCCACGATCGGTTGTCAGCTCGCCAATGCCAACTTAGCCTTAAATCTAATCCTAACGCCCTAACTGCAGATAACTTAATTACAAACCACCGCGAAGTGAACCGTCATGACGTCATCTGACATAGTTTGACGCGTCAATAGTGACCAGCGCCCCAAAAATGACACCATCTGACCTGGTCCCTTCCCCTCTCCTACATTGAATCCCACACCTCACTGCGGCCGGGCCGCGAGCGCAAATGACCGACACTAGTGCTAGCACCAATACAAGTGTAAGATGAGCCATTAGCGCGCACTAACTATTACTGGCCCGCCCCGGCTGTCCCTCTAACCCCTCTGTCTATCCCATAGACAAGGCCGGACCAGTCAGGCCCATTAGCCGGCCTGCCCACCCTTACAAACAGACGCACCCCTGCCGCGCCGCTCGGTCGGGAGCGGAATGTAGCGACCATCTCCCCTCCCCTTCCCGGCCGAGTAACACTCCCACAATGTTAAATCCATTACCCTCTAATGGTGGCTCAGGTTAGACCTCAGGGAGTGGCATTTCTAATCCAGATCAGAGACATCCGATGGGTAAATGGGAGGTGAATTGTCCATGGCGGGGAGGCAGTCTCGATGAGGTGGACAGATGACTCACTTGACAGTGTGTTGATGGCTGACACGTCGAGTCTCCGTCGCGGCAGCAGAGTCCCTCCGCTCCGGCAGGGGTGGGGTCGGCCAGCCTCAGACTGAGACGTGCCGGCCGACCCGCCGTCCAGATGAGCTCTCCTCCTCGTGGTCTGTCACCCGTGGTCTGATACCGTGGTCTGTCCTCCTCTCTCCTTCTGCATTGAGTTTTGTTCGCCTGTGGTTTCCGGGCCGGAGGTTCCGGGCGTCGCCGGGCCTCGCTGACCGGGGCAGAAAATTGGCGACATCCCGTCTCGCATCCGGAGTCGAGACTGTCACCCTCCTCCCTCCATTCCGCCGGAACGTGACGTCATCCTCACTTGCACGGCACATCCGTCTCAGCTGTCTCCTGCCGGATGACGTTTTCACACTCGATTTTCGCCGGATGTCAGTCCCTGCCTGTGCCGGACGCGGCGCCGTGTTAGCCTGGCCTCAACCCTTCGCTCCGGTTTCCGTTCGAAAATTTCGGCAGGACGTGCGGTGCCAGGGTGTCGGGAGGCTGGTCCAGCACCGGGGGCAGGTGTTTCCGACTGCCGCGTTTGTCGGCGGCAGCTGCGCCGGCCCGGATGGATGTGTTGGAACTCCACCCTTCGGCGAGCCTTTGATCTTCGCTTAATGGTGACCGGCCGACGGGTCGGGGGATCGTATGGTCGACTCCCTCCCCACGCCGGCTCAGCGCCGCGGCAGACAGTGCGATCGTCCTTACGTATAGAGTGTGAGAGATGTCCTTTTTGATGTACGGAAAAAATGTTACAGCTTCCAGCTGTTACATATATATATATATATATATATATATATATATATATATATATATATATATATATATATATATATATATATATATATATATATATATATATATATATATATATGTTGCGGGCCAAGTGCGAAGGCTAGTCCATTCGCGAATGGCCTAGTCCAAGTGCGATAACGCACTTGGACTAGGCCGTTTGCGAATGGACTAGTCCATGTGCGTTATTGCAGTTGGCCTAGGCCGTTTGCGAATGGACGGGCGTTTATGCTCCCAGTCCAAGTGCGAAGTCAGGCCAAGTGCGAAATATCCAGCAAAGTGACGTCAACTTGGCAAGTCAACTTGGCATGTGCAAAGTCCCGTGTGAAATGATGCGTGCAAAAGCGTGAAAGCGATGCGTGAAAAAAGCCGCACCGTCCCGGTACACCACACCAGAGCAGAATGAATCGAGCGCCACAAACTCGACCAAGGTCAGGTCGGGTCATCAGCGGGGAGCCCGGAGCACGGTACTAATGGTCTCCGCACACCACGCGACTCTCCGCTGTTCGAAGGTCACGGGGATATTTGACCTCCCCAGATCCAGATCGGTGGCCGAAGCCTGGCCAGCGGCAACACGTTGCTATAATTTCCGCGTTGTGCAGGGTTCAGCGGAAAGTCGCATCCCGAATGGACCAGGTGTGTGGAGACCTTAACCCAGAGTTGCGCCAGCTCGCAGATCTGCTCCGGAGAACAAACTAAACATATAGACGCAGTGGCGTCGCCACGGATTTTCGACTAGGGGATCTGGTCGGACGGTCAGTCAAAGTAATTCCCACCAAATGCTGAAAACTCCTCGGATTTAGACAATTTTATTTTGAGAATGCACCAAAATCGTTTTTAAAATATTTTATTTTATTCTTGATCGATTTTCGTGGCCAAAAGTGTGTGTGTGTGTGGGGGGGGGGGGGGGGGGGAGCGGGGGGGGGGGGGCGTCGAACCGGCATATTTTCAAGAATGTGTGTGTGTGGGGGGGGGGGGGGGTCCGGACCCCTCCGACCCCCCCCGTCGGCGACGCCCCTGCATCGACCAGCGGTCCCCCATTCATTCGGAATCGTACCCCAATCCGAGGATCCATGCTTCCGGCGGCTAAGTGCAACACCACAAACCCGTCCGTTCGCAAACGGCCTAGGCCATTCGCGAATGGCCGGCCATTCGCAAACGGACTAGTCCGTTTGCAAACGGACCGCCATTCGCGAATGGCCTAGTCCATTCGCGAATGGACTAGTCCGTTCGCAAACGGACTAGCCTTCGCACTTGGCCCGTAACATATATACCTATAAAGGTACCTATATATAGGTACCTATATACCTATATATACCTATATATAGGTACCTATATACCTATATAGGTATATATAGGTACCTATATATACCTATATAGGTACCTATATATAGGTACCTATATACCTATATACATATAGGTATATATATATGTATATATATATATATATATATATATATATATATATATATATATATATATATACCTATATATATATCTGTATATTTCGGAAGCAGATTGTTTTTGATGCATTGATCATTGAATAAAACTGCGGCTTCAGCCGCATACCTATATGCCAGCTTTCAGGGCCATGTCCTTTAGTGGGTGCCTACTAGGCAATGCATATCCGTGTGCCAGTTGGGTGCAGCTGCACGTGCGCACGTGCAGGGGTCGATTCCAGATCTCCAGAACGGCTGAACCGATTGCGCTGAAATTTGGTATATGGTTAGGGACCGGTTAGTAGGGTGTCGTGCAAGATT